AACAACCGTTCAGCTTGTAATTCTTTCGGTGAATGCACATCTCCAAATCAATGTTCTTGTTCAGAGAATCACATTGGATCACAATGTGAAACTCCTCTCTGTTACAACATTCCAGCTAATGATTCCAATGTATGTTCTTCTCACGGTTCCTGCCAATCCGTTGATGAATGCCAATGTCAATTGGGATTTACTGGTTTGACATGTTCTATTCCTATTTGCTATGGTATTAATGGAACTAATTCAAGTTCAATATGTTCTTCACATGGTAAATGTGTGAATTGGGATACTTGTCAATGTGACACTGGATATACAGGACTAGAATGCCAAGTGCCAATTTGCTTTGAAATATTAGCAAATTATAGCTTGGTATGCTCAAGCCATGGTTCTTGTATTGATCATAACAATTGCAGTTGCATGCCTAGTTATGTGGATATTGACTGCTCCAGTCCAGTTTGCTATGCTCTCAACAGTTCCGACGTTTTAGTTTGTTCTTCACATGGTGATTGCCTATCACCAAATAATTGTTCATGTCATGAAGGATTTACATCTGATAATTGCTCCATTCCAATTTGTTACAATATTGATGCTTCCAATAGTTCAGTATGTAGTGGATTTGGTGAATGTACTTTTCCAAATAATTGTAAATGTCATGAAAATCATGTGGGATTACAATGTGAAATTCCACTTTGTTTTGGAATTCCAGCAAATGAAACTCAGTCGTGTAATGGTAATGGACAATGTATTCAATATAATGAATGTGTGTGTCATTTAGATTTTACAGGACTCAATTGCTCCATTCCAATATGTTTTGGAATTAATGCCACTGATCAAAGTCATGTTTGTTTTTCACATGGCGTTTGTCAAGCACCAGATCAATGTCAATGTCATGAAGGATATACTGGAATGCAATGTGAAATTCCAATTTGTTTCAATATTCCAGCTAATGATTCCAGTACATGTTCATCTCATGGAGAATGCATTGAGTTCAATAACTGTTCTTGTCATGATGGATACACCGCCGCATTGAATTGTTCACTCCCAATATGTTATGGATTAGATTCCAGTCAGTCAGTGGTTTGTTCTTCACATGGACAATGTTTGGCTCCAAATAACTGTTCGTGTTTTGAAGGATATACAGCTGAAAATTGTTCCATGGCAATTTGTTACAACATTGATGCTTCCAATCAATCAGTGTGTAATGGATTTGGTGAATGTTATTCTCCAAATAATTGTAAATGTCATGAAAATCATATTGGATTACAATGTGAAATTCCACTTTGTTTTGGAATTCCATCAAATGAAACTCAGTCGTGTAATGGTAATGGACAATGTATTCAATATAATGAATGTATGTGTCATTCAAATTATACAGGACTCAATTGCTCCATTCCAATATGTTTTGGTATAAATGCCACCAACCAACCTGTTTGTTTTTCACATGGTATTTGTCAAAAACCAGATCAATGTCAATGTCATGAAGGATATACTGGAATGCAATGTGAAATTCCAATTTGTTTCAACATTTCAGCTAATGATTCCAGTACATGTTCATCCCATGGAGAATGTATCGATCATGATCT